GGATTGCCGTCCGCATAAATCTTCGAAAAAAGTTGTCTGGAAATACTGGATTTGGACTTCGCGCCAACTTTCCCATACATCTTCTGCTCTTTCTACAGGAGTTTTCAGCACCTTGTCTACGTCCAGCCAGAAGTTGACTAGACTCTCCCCAGACGATGCGGACAGGAAGTGACGAAATTTACGCATCCCCGCCACGTGACCTATTGCCGTCTGAAACCTTTTCAACTCTGCTTCATATTTGTCTGAAAAAATAAATAAATTGAAATAATATTCGACGAACGTTGCATTAATATAACAAAACAGTGCATAACTGATCCTTTTGAAAGTGTGTTTTTGATATAGAATTACTGTAGCATTTGATTTTTAAGTGTCTCCCTTACTAGGGTATTGTTAGATAGTTACAGTTATTACTAGAGCGCATTCAGAGCAGTGGACTAACTGATCCGCAGATCAAACATGGCGACCCACTCAAAAGCTTGCCGCCTAATTCGGAATTAGACGCTATATAAATTCCTCACGGGGATTGCACAACAAGCATCGACGTGGGTCGGCCATATATGATCTGCGGATCTGTTAGTCCACTGTTCTGAATGACCAGTTTGCACACATAAAATCTTTAGAACAGGGAGCNGTCATCGGCAATGCAAGTGACCAAAAGCCACTCTTGGGAGCGGAAACGGTAACTACGGGTCTTGCAAAACATAGGCTCTCCGCAAATGCTGTCGGGCGTGGAGATGAACTTCCAAAATGCGGCCATCTGGTGCTTGTCCCCGAAAGAATCTTGAATGTGATGTTGGAGCATGATTTCGTTGTCACGTGCCACCAGGGACTTCGATTTTAATGATAGGGTGGGGGTCTTCACTTGCCGAGTTCTCTGATCTTCATGGCTGCTTTGGCTGGATATAAAGCTGGGCTTCCTTAGGGTGCGTGGCAGATCGTCCAAACTTTCGAGTCGTTGAAGGTTTTCGCTGGTTAAAAACGCGACTCTTTCTTTGTGTTGTCTAGAACGGTGGACCGGAGGAAGCTTTGGGACTCCGTCTGGCTTCCTATGGCGCAGAGAGTGTTCGATAGAAAACTGGGCCTCCTGTTTGTGTCCCTCCTGGTGCGGGCCCGCTCCCGGGTCCATCTGCAGTTTCCCTTCCTCCAATCTGTTGCAGACGGTAAACCTCCCAAACTTTTTGACTAACTGATAATACTCCATGTTGGTTATAGCATTAAGCTTGACTATGTCTGCGTCTCGCTCAGATTTTGTCATCGGCCTGTCGTCAGTCGCGCCAACATGGATAATGTATTTTGGAACCCAGTACTCCTTGAGGATATTGACGGCCATCTGTTGAAGATCGCGTAAACATTGGAACTGGGCGTGACTCAAGAAGAGCCCGTCCCCAGTCGCCTCCGGGAATAACCTACCAATGTTGCAGGATTGCCGTCCGCATAAATCTTCGAAAAAAGTTGTCTGGAAATACTGGATTTGGACTTCGCGCCAACTTTCCCATACATCTTCTGCTCTTTCTACAGGAGTTTTCAGCACCTTGTCTACGTCCAGCCAGAAGTTGACTAGACTCTCCCCAGACGATGCGGACAGGAAGTGACGAAATTTACGCATCCCCGCCACGTGACCTATTGCCGTCTGAAACCTTTTCAACTCTGCTTCATATTTGTCTGAAAAAATAAATAAATTGAAATAATATTCGACGAACGTTGCATTAATATAACAAAACAGTGCATAACTGATCCTTTTGAAAGTGTGTTTTTGATATAGAATTACTGTAGCATTTGATTTTTAAGTGTCTCCCTTACTAGGGTATTGTTAGATAGTTACAGTTATTACTAGAGCGCATTCAGAGCAGTGGACTAACTGATCCGCAGATCAAACATGGCGACCCACTCAAAAGCTTGCCGCCTAATTCGGAATTAGACGCTATATAAATTCCTCACGGGGATTGCACAACAAGCATCGACGTGGGTCGGCCATATATGATCTGCGGATCTGTTAGTCCACTGTTCTGAATGACCAGTTTGCACACATAAAATCTTTAGAACAGGGAGCTGGATTTAAAGAGCACTGACGGATCAATATAACAGCGTATTCTGTAAATTTTCTTTTTTTTCTTCGATCAACAGCTTAATATTGAAATAGTTTGCCTCCAATAGTCCTGTTAGCAATCCAAATACTGGGGGCAAACCATTTCATTATTAAACAGTTGATTGAAGACAAATTACTTAATTCGTATAACATAACACAGTTGATGAAATTCTTCTACGACTAGGGATATTATAAGATTTCAAATGCAGGTCGTTTATCATTTAATTGTAGGCCTACGTGTACCTTTTGTAATGATCGCAGAAATCTCATTTTTGGAGAGAAAAAAAAAAAGAAAATCACCAAAATCTGATGTTTGAAACTGATTAATTTGTGTGATGGGACATTTTCAGAAAGGATCTCACTCACGAAGGCCGCGCGAATAATTTACCTTTTTGAAAACGGAGTTCATTGGGCCTGACCAGCCACTGGCATAACTTGTATTCTGAGTAGAGCTTTGTCGTCACAAAGAGAGGAATTCTTGTCTTCATCAGCCATGATAACGTCCACTTGGTGGGAGGCTGATGGTATATGTATTTTAATATAGATATTAAAATAAAAATATCAATCATATAACATTTTACTTCAGACCTTAGATAAAAGTAAAATTCAACTGCTATGCAAAGAATTTGTTATCATATACTCGGGTTGCAAATTTGAAATAGTAATTATAAATTTTATAAGGCACAACACAATGTAATACTAGTAATGCATTTATCGTTGTCTAGATTGCCAATAAAAATACATTAGACTTAGTTAAACCCTGTTCTTTTACTCTTCGATCGTGGATCAGCGAATAAATTTCCTAGTAAGCGTATACAAATGGGAATCGCGTTTCTTGCCCCCTCCCCCGTTAGATTCATATTTCTGCATTCAAAACCCCTCAGTAAATATGGAAGTGATATTATTGATATAATTATTTTATAAAGCCACTTACACAAGGATCACACGGAGGGTCGAATGTAAACTCTCTGTTCTGATACAGGTAGGAACATTTTACTTGGAATATCTAAAATTCAGAGTGGTGACAGCTATGATATACCAGTTGTTTCAATTTTAAATAAAGAATTGATATACAGATATTAAGCATAAGAAATGAGATAGAGTATATTTCTACACAACATTGCTCTTTGAAAACTGTGTAAGTATTTCAACTTTGATAAAAATCAAATATAAAAATCAAATATTTTTGATAGAAAACAAAACAAAACAAAAACACGCACATTTCAGGTATTGATCAGATACCCAAAAATTAACGATTAAATGAGGGAACAAGCATATAATTTAATATAGGTCTATATATTTTTTTCAGATGTTGAAAAGGAATGGGGAAATACAACTCACCGGCTGAGCGAGAAATACATTTAAATAATCAGTAAATGTCTTGTCCTGGAGCAGATGTGGGACCTCCCAAGCGTCTAGTTTCGGCGGGCCTGGAAACAAAAACTTACATATTTCTACTACGTGAACTGGAATACATAAACATACAATTTCTGTATCTTTATTTCACCAGTTTCACAAAACAAGGTTAGTTTTTAAAATGCGAAATATACTACAGACTATAATAATCTGTATTGGCATAGCTGGGAGAACGTAACAAGATGCGCATTATTGCAGAATTAATTCTTACTTAATTGACACAATTCGATTTTTTTAAACAAAAACATTGGGTATCTTTTATTTACGTTCACACAGCATATTTGAAAAATCAACGTGCATCTTAAATATGATATCGTACCTGTTTCGGCCACACCAGCCATGGTGAGAATGATGGTTACTGGAATGTCGGCCACTTGATGCTTTGTCACTAAGCGACAGGACTTTTATGACGTAATAAGAGGAGAGGGACATTGTGACGTGTTGTGTGACGCGCATGACGTCATGACGTCCTCTGATATGTTTTTTGTTTTTTTTTTTCTTTTTTGCATTGAGTCTAAGCAACGATTAATCGGTTTTATATTTACATGCACCAATTCACTACATAATAGACATGAAATGGGCAATTTGGACGTGTGAATTTATTAACTGGACATAAAATACATTGTTTAATAATCTTTTTTAGGGATAAGACTGCCATGTTCCGTGTATGGAGAGCTAATATATCAGAAGTCAACTGCTCAGGAGAGACGCGTTTGAAATATATTTTATACAATATTATTAGTCAGAACGCGTATCGGAATTTCAGTGGATGTCTGATGTTTAAAAATTGTTTTGGAAAAGTGAGAAGCCACATATCTTCCCTTCAAACAAAAACGTCCATGAGAGTTTAATTGATAACGTGATACTCATTTTTACGAGAGAAAAAATAATCGCAAAATATGGTAAAAATATGGTAAATGTGGTAAATAATGCTGCGTAATAAGTGTTTTTATTAAGTTTTTTTACAAAGGTTTCTTTAGGGAAATAGCCACTTAAAGTAAGACGTGGTTCATGTCATGAATATTTCAAAGACATTGAATTTTTTGTATTCATTTATTTAATAAACAACCAGTTTTGCAATTAACTCTTGCAAATTAATAAGTACACAAGTTGCAAATACATGGCGCCTTGAATTGACATGTGATAACATGATTTTGAATGCCAAAAAACTCTGTTGCATAAATACTTGCACATTAATTAGTAAGAAATGCACAATCACAAGAATTACATTTAGGTAGATGGGAATTCTGAATAGAGAAACCTGTGCAATTTTCTCAGTATTAAAGCGAATTCATATTTGCTGGACAATCTTTATACAAGTCAGAAACGTGGCGTGAAGCTACCTAAAGCTAAACAATATAAAGCAACATTCTTAACTGTTATAACTTGTGATGTCTGATTCAATCCGAGATATACAAACAAAGCTCTTATGTGCTTAAAAAAGTTCATTAGTCTGGTAGATATACATAGATTGTTTAATTAATAATTCCAAAGACAGTTTTTTTTCTGATTTTAGGTTCTACTGAAGAGCCTTCCTCAGGCAAAGCGTTTTGCGGAGATGCGCAATGGTTAATCAAACGGACTGGATGTGTTATTGCCTCCAGCGTCGCAAATGCAGTCGTCTTTAGCAAACTGTCCCTCACAACACTCGCACCTGTACGGCGTGTTGCTGGTGTAGTGATTGTTGTTGCAGGTCTTGTGGCCGTCTTTGCCATATCCACAAACTTCTATCCACTCACAAGAACCTGTAGTGTATCCCCAGACCGTCACCTTGTCCAGGCCATTTTTACAGTAAAGCACAGGTTTCCCGGTGATTGGGTCATGGCCAACTAATACATGTAGGAAGGGGGTATGCGGTATAAGTGCACGTTTGCGTTTAGTGCCAGCTGGTGTAAGAACAATCCCTGAAAATAATAAATGATCTGCCAATCACATACATGTACTGTCTTGATCTAGATTTCAAAGGGAATGGTTTAATCCATCAAATGTGTTTTGATAATGCCGGAAATACTGGAGCTACTTGGTGACAATAAGTTCGGAATGTCTCCCAGGTTACGGCCCTACTGGTGTGATAGCTGGTACCTCTCCACCGTGCTTGTGCTACCACACCTGTCGGACGGGACCCGTGGGGGGAGGGGGGCATTTCGCGCCAAGTGACACCACTGACATTTTAACAACAGTTCACCTGTAGAAGGCCTTGCGATTAGGTCGAAACATTGTGACCTCTGTTTCAAAATATATGATCCAGTATAAAAAATAGTTTCATGACCAACATTATTTCGGTTATTTTGATCTAGCTTTACAAAGCGGTGGTCAATAGTGACTCAAATCTTCACACCAGGGGCTAGGCATGCAAAAGATTTACTAAGAATCTAAAATGAATTACAGGCTGCCCCTGGTGGCATTTTTAGTATTGACATTTAAAGTATATATAGAATAAAAAATATTATATTTGAATACCTTGCAAAACGATCGCACCAGGCGGCATGGTGAAAAGTTTAGATCTGTAGAGCTGCCGCCCGTTTAAGAAAGCCTGGGCTTCGGAGCTGAGGAAGGAAATGTCTGACAATGCGGTCTTTTCCAGAATGAAGAATTTTCTCACCAGAGCGCTGTTCTTCTCGGACAAAACACGATCTTCAGCCTGGAATATTATTTTTAAATTAATGACTGAAAAACTTACAAGGCGTCGCTTTGAATTTAATCTGGCTAGGGGATATTTTAATACGTACAAGAGAAGAAGACCATACAGAAGAAGCAGAATAACAAGCTTTTGTTGGTTTTTCAAGCTGGGGAACAAAATAAAATACGGTCTTACTTTCGGCTTATAAGTCAATTTGTAGTCACTTTCTATTTCAAAGAGGGAAAGAGGAAGAATAGATTACCTGCAAGGTCTCAAGTCCCCATTTCAAGGAGCTTAAGGTGTAATCCAAGCCTTCTTGTCCACTGCGCAGAACGCAATAGCCGTCTCTGATGTAGCATGTTATGGAGTGACCCTAAAAATTAAGTAATATAGTTCAGTGTATTAAAATCGAATACAAGAATGTTTTCTAAAAGAAAAGAAAATAATGAAACATTAGGCAGAAAATGACATACAAAAGCATTTCAATGTGCCATTTAGGATGGAATGAGATTTAGATTCTTACATTCTTAAAGTCATGAAGTGACGCCGTTTCTTGCAAGGCATTGTGGGCAGGAACGTGTACTCTCACTTGCTGTTTAATCATGTCGATCTCCACATCTTCGCTGAATTCGGTGCCTGTTTCATTGATGGACACTCTGAAATTCTGAATTAAGAAGAAGGCTTTTAATTAGCTTTAGTTACAAGTGATTAGAATTCTCTTGGCATTCACACTGAGCAATTTAAATTAAATTGTAATGAAATGCACATAATATAAAAGACTTCTGTAAGAGTCGGAACCTTACAGTACATAGTCATGTGTTAAACAAAAGTAGGTTATAATAATTATAATAAAAATAAGTGAAGCGTTGTTTTACCTCTTTCCACATTGGAAGTGAGTGAACACTGGAAACAACGACGGTAGCAACTAGAACCACGACAAGTGACTTTTCGGACAACATGTTCAAAACGATGAGACAAACCTGAAACAAAGCAAAAGTGTTTTAGCTATTTGTTTTTTGATTGAATTATTTTATTGTAATATGCCTTAGGTAAAATTCGTAAGCGCACCAACTGAGATGCTGTTTGAACCAATATTATGTTCTAAAAAGAGAAGTTGAAATTGCAACCATTAAAGGAATTCAGGAGCCCCTGACATGTAAAACTCACTTACCGAAAGATGTTATCTCGAGTGAAGTTATTCAGCAGTACTTGTTGTCTCTCCTTTCTTCCCAAGAGCTCTGCGTAGACTGGCGTAAATGCGGTATTTATACCTTTTTTCCAAAGACTTAACCTTGGATAAAACATGTTTATAAATGGTTGTGCGAAAAGAAACTTTGAAACAAACATGTTTTTTTACGACGCAAAACTAGCTTGATGGTGCAACATCTGCGAGTACTATGCTGTAAATATTTACCCACTCAGATCAAATATTTTGTGTAAAGAACGACAGATAATACCCAAAGAGGTTATCTGTCATCATTATCAGTCAGGGAATCCGGAGTGCAGAAACATGTGTACTAAGATGTCGGACTTGCCACCCTTTTGATTAAAACGAAACTATTGGTACATGTACATGTAAGTGAAGCGTTTGATTTTTCCATACTACTTTGTGGTCAATTTTTGTCACAAAAACATATCAACAACTGTCACTACATATTCTGTAGTCGTGATCATGGACGTTTTTCATGGATGGATGATCTATTGCTACCTTTTCAGCGAACCTCGCATCTTATTAAAATATTTTCGCCATTCAAACATTAAACTAGTGTAAGAGAACCAAAGCACTGTCAGATTTAACAATTTTTTTGTTATGTTTGGTTCTCTCTCTCTCTCTCTCTTTTTTACTTTGTACTTTTTAAAACCATTTCTTTGATTATTGCAAAAGGAACGGACGATCTGTTTACTTAGACGCAGTTATATCCTGGTTACTGCGCGCTAGATTTATCTAGTACTCAAACTTTATCTCCGAGTTGTTTTTTCTGTCACATTTACCCCAGGGAGAAACACTGCATGGTTTATTTTTGTTTGGGTAACTTTTAAAAAAGACGAGTCGCAATACCGTAGATATCGGAGGCGGACCATGACACAGTTATGTGGCGGTCAGAAAAACACAATTTTACTGTTATCAATCGTAAATAGCACCCAGCAAGGTAACAGTTAGGTTATTTATAACGTTAATTGCGCATCGTTTTTTAAATATCAGAGACACTGGCGGTAGAGTTTTGTTGGACGTTGCCCAAAAAATGGTTATTGAACAAATAAATTATAAAGGTAGGAGACATGCAATCTAATTGGTTCAATACTGAATATGGTGTAAGACAAGGTGATAATCTATCACCAACCCTATTTGCCTTATATATTAATGATTTAGCGCAAGAGATAAAACGGATCTCGAAAGGTGTTGAAGTAGGAAAAAACGTTGTAGATATATTATTATATGCAGATGATGTGGTATTTATTGCTCCTACTGAGGAAAACTTGCAAGCTATGCTTGATAAGCTAAGTGAGTGGTCTTATAAATGGAGTTTATTTGTTAACCAAAAGAAAACAAAAATCGTACATTTTAGAAAACCAGGTGTTGAAAGGAGTAACTTTCAGTTTAATTGCGGTGGAGTGCCACTTGATTATGAAAAGTCTTATAAATATCTTGGAGTCACCTTAGTAGAGACACTTAATTATAGTACAAATGCAGATGTGATGTCTCATGCTGCAGGTAGGGCACTGGGTTCCATAGTAGCTAAGTATAAACATCAAGGATATATGGGGTATTCCACGTACACAAAGCTTTTTGATTCTTGTGTTAGTCCCATTCTAGAATATGCAGCAGGTGTTTGGGGATATAATGAATATAAGCAGCTAGATAAAATTCAGTTTAGAGCCGCCAGGGTATTTCTTGGGGTGCACAGATTTACTCCTCTTCTGGCCATAGAAGGGGATATAGGTTGGATGAATACTAAATATAAAAGATGGTTGCACCTTATAAGATTGTGGAACAGACTTTTGAGCATGAGTGACGATAGGATTACAAAACAAATTTTCATTAGAGATTATGACTTGGCAAAAGAGGGTAACATTAATTGGTGTGCTCATGTCTCTCGAGTCTTAGCTGTTTGTGAAATGGAGCATTTGTTTAATGATTTAGTTTATTGTGATGTTGGCGTTATAAAGAACATATTATTTAAATTGCAGGAGAGAGCCTGGAAAGAAGCAGTATTAAAAAAACCAAAGTTAAGGGTCTACAGAAAACTTAAAGAAAATTTATTTGTGGAAAATTATGTTAAGTACAATTTAAAAGCTGCGGAAAGATCGATCACGGCCCAGTTTAGATCAGGGGTTCTTCCATTACATGTAGAAACGGGCCGCTTTGTTAACAGAAAATTAGATGACAGACTATGTTTTCTTTGTAACACACAAAAAGCACCCTGAGCTTCAGAGATAACTTGACACTAACCTCTTCACTAAAGCCTATCTTCATCGTGTCAAGTTACCTCTGACGAAAATAGTTTGACCTAGTTTATATAAGCCAATCGAATCCATGTTTCAAAAATTTTCACCAAAGTTTGGTGAAAACGCTGATTGGTTGACCGTCAATCGGCAATCCTCGGCTGATTCCGCAAGCTCCATACTAACAACATAGTTATTGTCGAGTGCGGAGACATCCGAGTAGTTCCGAGTGCATAACCGTACACAAAGAAAGCATGGAGTATATCGGAATTGAAACCAGAGCAGTTTGATGCCCTGCATAATTATCTACTGAGGGATGATGTATTTTGCGTGCTGCCCACAGGTTACGGCAAGTCCCTGATATTCAGCCTTATCTTTGATTGGTCCGGATTTGAACAAAGCGCGCTTTGACTCGTTCGCGTTCATTGGCTAGATCGTTCAATGAGTCATTAAGTGCGGGCTTTAAATTTGATTGGCGGGCGGCGGAGGCAATCGAATGTGGTCAGAGGTAATTTGACACGATGAAGATAGGCTATAGTGAAGAGGTTAGTGTCAAGTTATCTCTGAAGCTCAGGGTGACAAAAAGTAGAAGATGAGTATCATTTTTTATTTGATTGTCCAATTTATAAAGATTTAAGAAAAAAATGGTTTGAAAAAGTAAAAGTGGGTGATCTTATCTTTCATGACCTGGAAGTGGTTAAGGAGAGACCTCAAGTGCTTTTTACAGATTTTCATAGAAGCACAGCGAGGTTTCTCTTTAACTGCTTTCAGGTCAGAAAGAAGCTTCTATATAACTAATGTTTGGTAACCGGTGACTCTGTAAGCCCATAGGGCTGGGCCGTTACTTATATATTCACATTATTGTATTATATTTGTATATATTCGGCATTGTCACAGAAATAAATCAATTTAACTATAAAAGAAAGAAAAACGATTTTATATCAATGGTAATTACAATTTCAAAATTTAAAAAGGCTTCGGTCTTTGAATAACATTCAATCTTATTCCCATTTCATCTCACAGATAAGGCAAGTTACTTGGAAAGAAAGGAAACGCAGAGCTTTACCTCGAGCTTTGGAAGGTTCTAAATTTTGCTAATCATAGAAAAAATACTCAACTAATGTATCAAAATCATCATAGTATGTAATTTAGTTTATTGACAACCGTTCAAGATAAATATATCACAATTTCCATAAGTAAACCTATCTACAGACTATCACATTTTGCTTTGACATGTAAAACTTAATACATGAAATTCAGTAGAAAAGAACAACTTTTGTTTACACTTTGTTATCAACTTTTTCTCTTATGTGATTCGTACAGATTTAGATAGCAAAATGTATGCTAAAATAAATGAATCCAATGAAGGCATTGTCATCATATGGTCTACTTCACAGTATCAATGTGTAATAAATATACAAATAGAAGGAAAATTAAATGCAATATACAATATCTTTAAATTAAGTATTTATCTTTATACAAATTCCAATATTTTACATATGAAGACTGAAAAATATATAAGATTTCTTTAAAATTCATATGTTTACATATATTAAACATTCTGATATAATTAGGATATGAATAAATAAAGAGCAATACCAACACGAGTGCATTACAGTTGTAAACGCATCACCCCCACCGCCCATTTTCATTTCATTCTTCTGTGCTTCATATATGGAGATCTTACTTGATGTCGATATTGAAAAAAAGGACAAGAGACGGGATTTGGTATCCATGATTGATGTCGAGATGATGTCGTCGAGATGAATTGGGGAGAAAAAAAAAAAGAAAAGAGGGTCAATCAATGTCAGAAAAAAAATTCAGAAAATAAAAAAGGACCCACACTCCAACTTTTATTTTAAATAATCGGTAAGGAAGTGATAGAAGTGAGGAAGAGGGAATATTAATAAGGAATTTGGCGCATACCACTCTTTAAACCTGTTTTACACTGGACGGCGTCCTTTCTGCGTCCCATTTCAGAGTAAAAAATAATGCTTCACGTGCCGACAACTGGCCGATCACTGAGCATTCATTCTGCAACAAAAGCGGTGCTTGTGCCTCCTTTCTACGACTGCAACGATGCCAGTTTCATGGTGGCACATAGGACGCCGTCCAGTGTTTAGGGGTTTTTACACATATTTCCTTGTTGTTTTACACCTCGTTCCGGTAGGTCCTACGGCTTCTCCTACTGACACTTGTACGCAGCTTTACAAACTTCAAGCTGATGCTTATGAAGATAACGTTTCTGTGCGAAGGCACGGTTACACTTTCCACAAATATAGTTCTTACTAGTGACGGAGTGAGTTAGCGCATGAGATCGTAAATTCGAGCGATCGGCAAAAGCTTTATCACAGCCTGGGTGATCACATTTGTAAGGTCTTTCCCCAGTGTGCGTGCGCATGTGCCCTTTCAGGAGCCAGGACCGGGAGAATGTTTTCCCACAGAGGGTGCACTTATTCCCATGCGCGCACCTGTCGTGACTCTGCACGTGGTCGTTGTACGCAGTCTCAGAAACATAGACTTTCCCACAGATATCGCACCTGAAGACGTTGTCCATGCTGGAACAGTTTTTCCAGTCCACGACCAGCGTCTGCGTGCGCACCAGGGGGCGCACCAAACAGTTCCTGTGCACAGCGGGCTCCCCCAGGGTCTGATTCTTGAATACCGACTTGATCCCTGAGGAATCCACCTCCGTGCGAAGGTTATAAGGACCGGGCTTGTGATTTGAATTCTGACGTGAGCTAGAAGAGGTCAGAGACTTTGTCTGCCGTGGTTCCAATGAAATCTTTTGGATGCTGTTGTTATTTTCATCGCTCATGGACTTGACGTTGTTTTCCAGTCCTTTGCTGCTCTCCTCTTTCTTGATGTGGTACAGCCATTGATGAAAGTTAGAAAAATTGTCACAGACGACAGTGCTGCTGACTGAAGTGACATCTACAGTGATGTCCTCCTTCTCATCATCCTTATCTGCATCCATCACTGACCTCACGTTGCCTTGGCAACCAGTCACAAGGCAATGGGCCTCAGTATTACTTGTACTGCAACTGTACCCAGCCTTATCAAAACTACCACTGCCATTGCTCCTAATTTGGTCACTACATCTTCCTTTGATTCTGTTGTTATTGCAAATATTGTTACTGTCTATGCTACTGTTAATGCTGCAGTTCGATAACTCGGAATCAGTTGAGGTATTTCCCAAGTCTGTCTTAAAGTGTCCAGTCTTAATGACAACTGTTTTGACAGCGTTGCTGTCACAGCTGTCTCTGTCGTCACTGCCATCTTTGTCATCCTTGATGACGTAGTTGCCATAGACAAAGGGACTCTCTTCGGTCCATTCCTCAGTTTCTAAGGGGTTCTCTCCGCAGACATCCAATTCCGTGCCTCGAAGGATCAACTCGTACCTGTAGAAAAGATAAGATGAATCAGGGGCGGATCCAGAGCTATATACTGACAGTCTTCCAAATTATCTTTGTTGATTCATCCTCCAATTTTGACCGTCTTCCAACATTAAAAATTGGATACCCGTCAATGTAAACTTGAAAATCTGACCGTCTTCTGGAAGACCCAGAAGACGGTCTAAATCCGCCCCTGTGAATCACTGATTATGAGTGGGAAAACTTGAAAGTGATGTGTTATTGGACCAGGGTTCAGAATTAGGCACAGTAAATGAGATTGTATTAGCTTTGATTAGAGAGACAATTGCCATTGTGGTAACAGCTAGATGTGAACAGAAAACATTGTGCTAGATGTGATCAGTAATGAAATAACAAGGGTAAATTTTGGGTTAAAAATCAGTTAAACATTGTGATAGTTAATTAATTTGCATAATTTCAGCAAAATAGATTTTCAGCACTTTAATTGCTGAGTAATAAATTTAAAATTAACTGTATGATAACCATATAATTTCGAAAAACGAAATGAAATTAAAACCAAAATAATATAACGAAAAAGTTTGATTAACTGTATAAAACTAAATCTGTATATATGTGATTCAAACAAGTGTGATTTTATATTTATTTATTCAGTTATTTATTTATTTATTATTATTTTTGATGGCTGAAGTTTAGATTGTGTATATGTATCCTGCATGTAGTTAGCAGTATGCCTATTCTATTAAGGAGTGATTTTCATTTTCAGTTTTAGACTTGAAATTGTGATTTTTAGTTTGATAAAAAATCTCTCTATCTAAATAAAATAAATCTATCAAGGTATTCATCATTTCAATGTGGCAATCAATCGTAATTTTAAGGTCAAAATGAAAATTTCCTCATATTTTTCTTCTCAGTGATTAATAGGCCTTACATAAAATATTTATATAAAAAAACTCATACAAAAATGGTTTTATTTCAATTACTGTACTGCACATTTAACTGCAGTTGTTGTGCACACTGTTTTTGTGTTAGATAAACAATGATTTGTGCTGGTAGGCCTACTTCTTTTATCACAAGCTCCCTCCCTCTCCCTTTCCTTCCTCCATTCTCTCTCTCTCTCTCTCTCGCTCTCTCTCTCTCTCTCTCTCTCTCTCTCTCTCTCTCAAACACACACACACACACACACACACGAGCACGCACTTGCCAAGATAATTTTAAACAAAGTCAAGAGAAATCTTATGTACATTACATAGTGTTTGGATTTAATGATTTCTTCGTTTATGCTTGTTTTTCCCCATTTCAGTTGTAAAGAAGTCATTGTCACCCTACCTTGTAATTACAGAAAGATAGCTCATAGAGCGGTATTTGATAAATTTCTTCGGAGCTGATGGAATCGGAGAGACATGGCGTGCCTGCAAATTTTCATTGCTACCTCCACATATATATCTCCTAAGCGGCAGTGCTACTCGGCCTGATCGTGTTGTGAAAATCCTATTTTTGATCTCTTCTCGCTCTGGAAACGAGGAAGGAACTGCAAGGAATATTTGATGATAGTTTTACACGAATATTTCATTTACATGAGTAACTGTGAGCAGAAGTTCAACATTGCAATTTTGTATCATTCGAAACAGGTGCTTCTTGTATCTGGACGAAAGAGAGAGCAGACGCTTCACTATTTTGCTAAAAAGAGACAGGGATATAAAGTGTAACTCACCTATTGGGTGTGTCTTTGAACGATAATTCCGGACAGAAAACGAAAAGCATCGAGGCATTATCTTATACCCCGTAGAGATCTAACCACAGAAATCAAAGAGAAACATTAGAATAGTTTGAAATTGACAAGTGCGTGCGCGTTTTCGTGCTACGTCATCGATTTTGACGTAGTGACCTGTAAACAAACCGCACGTGCAGAGACGTGCCGAAAGGAGAGTCACAGGCTTTTGGTTTATTTAGCTTATTTGGCATGAACAGTAGGCTTTTTTAGAGACGGAAGGGGCGAAGTATTGGCGCTTATTAAATTCTGATTTTCCACGGTCCTCTTATCTGCCACAAAACTCATTTTGCTTTTATTAACAAAAAGAAAAAAATATAGTACGTCTCTACCCCCCCTCAAAAAAAAAAAAAAAAAAAAAGTAGTCTACAATTTTGATTCATGATTTCAAGTAGTCACCGAGAATAAGTCTTTTCACGGGAAATTGACCTTTTATTTGCACAGACAATTTTCAAAAAGTTAATCAAAGTCGGTATTTATCTTTTCTGTGGCTTTTAATTAACAAAGATTTATAAGTAGCCTAAGCACAAAAAAAAAAAAAAAAAAAAAAAAAAAA